GACGCAGCAGCAGAAGGGGACTCAGCCGAGGAGGTTATGGAAGAGGATGGAGTAGGAGGAGTAGAGGAGGTGGCAGCAGGCCTGCCTGCAAGTCGTGGCAGTGTCCCCAACTCCTCTGCAGAGCCACGCATTCCATGCTTGGCAGCCGTCAGCAGGTTTACCCAATGCGCAGTGTAGGTGATGCAGACCAGGTATCAGTGGTCAGATGGACCCTTGCCCCAACACTGTGTGCCAGACATGCCATTACTTCCTTTTGCACAATCGAGTACAGGTTGGGGATTGCCTTTTGTGCAAAGAAATTTCGGCCGGATACCGTCCACTGCGGTGTCCTAATAGCTACAAATTTTTTGAACGCCTCAGATTCCACCAGCTTGTATGGTAAAAGCTGGCGGGCTAAGAGTTCAGTCAAGCCAGCTGTCAGACGCCGGGCAAGGGGGTGACTTTGTGACATTGGCTTCTTACGCTCAAACATGTCCTTGACAGACACCTGACTGTGGGCAGATGAGCAGGAACTGCAAAGCAGTTGTACCTTGGTGGGTGTTGGACTTCCCACGACTCACTTTCTTTTGGCACAGATTGCAAATGGCATCACTGTTGTCAGAGGCAGACACACACAAAAAATGCCACACTGCTGAGCTCTGCAATTACGGCATTCTGGTGGTGGCAACAACGTGCGTTGATTGGCGTGCTGTCTGGCTGACCCTGGGCGCCGATGCATGCTGTCTGACTGTGCCACTAGCTCCTTGCGATGACCTCCCCCTGCTTTCAACTCGTCTCCTCTTCCTCCTCTCTGTCTCCCCATCTGAACTTTCCCCCAGTTCTTCTTCTCTTTTAGCGGGCACCCACGTGACATCCACGGACGCATCGTCATCATCAACCGCTTCACTTGTATCTGACAACTCAGCAAAGGAAGCAGCAGTGGGTACAACATCATCATCATCACACAGTACTTCCATGTGTGTAATGCTGCCTGACTGAGACATATCCCTGTTATCTACATCCTCTGGCAATAATGGTTGCGCATCACTCATTTCTTCCAACTGATGTGTAAATAACTCCTCTGACATACCAAGTGAAGCTGCTGTGGTGCTAGTGTTGGTGGTGGCGGCAGGGGGCGAGTGGTAACTTGAGAGGTGCCCGAAGCTAAGCTGGAGGAGGATGGTGCATCAAGGTTCCGAGCGGAAGCTGTAGAAGATTGGGTGTCCTGTGTTAGCCAGTCAACTATGTCCTCAGAACTTTTTGAGTTCAGGGTACGTGGCCTCTGAACACTGGGCATTATTCTAGGGCCAAAGGGAATCACAGCACCACGACCACGACGGCCCCTGCGGGGTGGCCTGCCTCTGCCTGTCATTTTTTTTTTTGATTAGTGGTACTATGCGTGCAAGCTACTGTGACAACAGATATGAGTGGCACTGTGCAGTGGCAGAAGTTGGCAGAGTAGACGCTGTAGGCCTGACACACACGCTTGCAGACAACTAACTGCTATTCAATCTATTACAGTCGAAATTTTTTTTTTTTTTTTAAATGTACACTACTGTTACACCAGATATGAGTTGCACTGGTGTGACACTGTGCCCTGGCAGGCCCTGAAACGCACATGTGTGAAGGAAACTGACTGCTATTATATTACAGTCCAAAAAGTTTTGTTTTTTTTAAATGCAAGCTATTGTGACACCAGTGAGTGAGTGGTGGCACTGGGCAGGCCCTGAAACGCACACTCGTGAAGGAAACTGACTGCTATTATATTACAGTCCAAAAAGTTTTGTTTTTTTTTAAATGCAAGCTATTGTGACACCAGTGAGTGAGTGGTGGCACTGGGCAGGCCCTGAAACGCACACTCGTGAAGGAAACTGACTGCTATTATATTACAGTCCAAAAAGTTTTTTTTTTTTTTAAATGCAAGCTATTGTGACACCAGTGAGTGAGTGGTGGCACTGGGCAAGTGGGCACAGTATATGCTGTGAGCCTGACACACAGGCTGGCAGGCAGGCAACTGCAATTACATTACACAGAAAAAAAAAAGCAGACTGATGTTCTAGCCCTAAAAAGGGCTTTTTGGGGTGCTGTCCTTACAGCAGAGATCAGATGAGTCCTTCAGGACTGTAGTGGACACTGAATACACTAGCCTAGCTATCAATTCCCCTATCAAATCAGCAGCAGCTACACTGTCCCTCCTCTCACTAAGAATGCAGCTTCACAATGAATGTAAAATGGATGCTAGGAGGGTCTAGGAGGGAGGGTCTGCTGCTGATTGGCTGGAATGTGTCTGCTGACTGTGAGGTACAGGGTCAAAGTTTACTCAATGATGACGAATAGGGGGCGGACTGAACAGCGCATATGTTCACCGTCCGTGGCGAACGCGAACAAGCGATGTTCGCCAGGAACTATTCGCCAGCGAACAGTTCGGGACATAACTATTTAGAGATACAAAAAATGTCTTCAAACTTATAAAATCTTTTTGTGCATCAGTATATTTCTTTTTTATAAAGACCAACCGCTAAAGTATTCTACTTATTCAGTCAAGTTTAAACACCTTGATGATGTTCCTAAGTTCTGCAGAAGAGGCAGCTTTATTTTTTTGTTTTTGTTTTTATTTGAAGTGCCACCCCTTGACATTTCTCGATTTACGTTGTTTGTTTTTTTACAATGCTTTGTTTTGTGGATACTTCAGAATCTTCTTTTATATCTTGTATTCATTTAATATTTGAATCAGAATTTCACATTTAGTTTTATATTTAATGTTTTACCACCTTGCTTTGCAAGGGCCATACTTTCAGTCTAACAATACAAATTCTGGGTGGATCATCGAAACATATTTCTGTACAAATATTTTCACCTTGATTCACTGAGTGTGGTAAGGATTAAAACTGGCATGGCAGCCAAGTTAAGCCATCATTATTATTTATTAACTGGTGTAATTTTACCGCAACTTCATTTAGTCAAGGTTTCTGTTCGGGTCATGGTTTCAGTGGAAACCATAGAACCTGCAACGACATTTGGTATACACTAAATGGCACTGAGGTTTAAAATGTTCATAAAAAGCCATTTTTGGAGATCAGAGATTACACTTTGTGAGACCAGGCCTAACATAATAGCAAATTCGACCAATTTCAGTGCTGCAGCCAACAGCAAAATAAAGTATTGATCCCCTTTGTGGCACTGAAAGAAAAGTAAATTCTCTCTCACTGAGAGCCAATTGGCTTTCTCCATTCAAAAATAAATAATACAAAAGTAGGATTACCCAGGACATCTCAAAAAGCTGGAGAGGCCAAGGGTATAGCTTGTGTATTCTGGGGTGGAGGGTCATATATTTAAGGAGAACTGGAGATGGTGAGTCCCCTGCAATCTTTTAAATGTATTTAGTTTTATCATAGAGTGACACAATTCACTCTCAGTGAGAGTGAGCCTATTAGGTCTGTTTAATGATATGTTTTGTTTCTTATTGTTTTTGTTGTTTGTAGTTTCAAAATAGATCCCTGTTTGCAGCTATAATTGAGAGACTTACACCTGCTATTTTCCTAAAACTTTTTTAGCACATATGCTAAGGAAACAAATCCATTTCTTAAGCTCATTAACATTCGGAAGCTAGCCTGCAATGCATGATAGGAAATATCACACATTTTTAAATATATTATCACGCGTTACAGAGTAACTGAACGCAGTAACTGAATGCAGCTTCAGCATGTCTATTTACACCCCTTAGTGAATCAACGTGTTTATCTAATCTATTTATCTAATGAATCAAAATAAAATTCAACAATTTTATATTGTGTGCTGAATTTTGATTGATATTTTTCTTAACAATTAAAAACATGCAACATATATTGAACATTTTTCAGAAAGCAGTGTAACGTGCAATAGTGATAACCCAACTAACTCACAAGTTAATATCTTTATTATTCTAGAAATAACAGAAGGCACACGGGCATTCGGTAATGAGATAGGTGGCAAGCTGTTTAATACAAGCACTGAATTGCATTTAGCAGACATAGTGTGTTGAAGCATTTATAACAGATATACATGTGAGAAACAGCTTATTTCAGAATTTCATCCTTTTGGTGTAAATATACTGAGAACTATGCAGTACAGTGCCTTCCATTAGTTTTCACTCCTGTTGCTGTTCCCACAATTTGCAGTGTTGAAATGGATTGACTTAGAATTTTTAACATTTGATTCATACAATATACCAGACACTTCAATGTTACAAAATATGATTTATTGTGACAATTGTTAAACAGGTAACAATACATTTGTTAAACATGCAGTCAACCCTGTTGCGACAGAATTTCTGGTTCAATCAGTTACTTTCAGAAGTCTCATAATTTGTTGAAGTGTGCCATTTAAGTGTCAAAATAAATTCACCTGTTTTTTTGAGCTCACACATAAAGAATATTCATTGTTGCGCAGAACTACTCCCATTCATATATATGTATATCTTCTCCTGCAAAACGAATGTTGCATAGTTAGGTCTTATTGTTTTATGGTCTCCCAGTTACATATATCGAATTGAAGTGTTACATTGAAAAGATTGGCACAGCGCCCGCGTACAGGCACAGAAGATCCTACAAATATTTGCCTTTTCCAGAGACCTGTTAAATATGCATAGTGTACTTTCCATGCTGTTGTATTTTATAATCTTACTCTAATGTACTGTGTTATTTGTTGCCTGTTTTCTCTTTTTCTTTTTTTTTTTTTCCAATGTGTTTTATTTAAGTATGTTTTTCGGCATTCAAATAACATAGAATACAAAACAAAATGGGGGTACAGAAGAGAAAAGGAGAAGGGGGGGAAGGCAGCTTACATAGATCATCATATACAGTACAATGCCATTGAACAAACCTTGATATTAGGTCAAATGGAAATGACAATTGTCAGTTAGAGCAATATGAGACAGAACAATGGTGGGTATACATGAAGACAACCTGGTATCAGACAAATTACATTAGAACATTTAGCACAGGGAGTTGGGTTGGGAAAGCCCGGGGGGGATTAGAGACCGGTTACGGGCCCTGGGGGGGAGGCTCGCCCTTCCTATAGTCCACCCAGACCTGCCATCGTGATCTGTATTTAGTTTGGCTGCTGGTCAGTCGGCTAGCCATGCGTTCGTATGCGTGGGTTGAGTCAAGCCTGCCTAAGATTTCTGACAGTGATGGTGACAAAGGGAACTTCCATCTGTGCGCGATGGCAGTTTTGGTGGCCATTAAGCAGTGGATCGCGAATACAACCGTTTCCCCTGGGAGGGTATCTGGGAAGATATGTAAAAGGAAGCAATCTGGCGTCAAAGGTACTGTTACACCCAGAATTTTATATAGAAGTGTATGTATTTCCTGCCATAGTGTGGTGATGTGTGGGCATGACCAAAATATATGGAGGAGGGACCCCTCACAGTTGTGGCATCTCCAGCATCGATCGTCGGATCCCGGATAGATGTGGGCCAATTTGGTGGGGACTAGATACCAGCGCATCGTTAGCTTGCAGTATGTTTCCCATTGGTTAAGGCTATGGGAAGCCTGTTTAGTTAATCTTTGGGCGTAATGCCACCTTTCTATTGGGATAAGCATTCCCAGATCTGATTCCCATTTGGACATGTACGATGATTTAGATGGTTTGTTGTGGAGCAATAGCGTGTTGTAGCATAAGGATAAAGCTTTGGTTTTCGGTAGTTTGCCCATACATTTAAGGATAAACGGCGTTGAGTGATCGGGTTCCCTCATGTTAATCCTGCATTCCTGGATAATATTTTTTAATCTGAGGTAGGAGAATAGTTCTCGTGGAGAGATATGGAATTCCCGGATTAAATCTGGGAAAGGCTTGATGCCATCTGGGGTCATTAATGAGCGGACATGGGAGATCCCCTGTTTAAGCCAATTGTCTAAATGGATGTCTGACGTTCGTGCAGCCAGGACCTGCAGTGGGGCTGCAAGGAGCAGGTCGTTGTTTCAGAGGAATGATGATGTGGTTCGCTTCCAGTTATGGAGGAGTGAGACCGTAGTGGGTAGCAAGGATTTGGTTTTGGTTATGGGGAGTTTTGACCCTGCCCATATAGACAAAGGAATTGAGCCATTGGATGTGCAAGCTTTTTCCAGAGCCAGCCACACCGGGGGAGAAGGGCGTTCAAGGATCGTGAGGCCTTGGGCCAACAATGATGCCTTGTAGTAAAGGTTAATATTGGGAACACCCAGACCCCCTTTTGTAAATGGGTGCCATAGTCATTTTTGCGCTATTCTGGGGGGTTTCCGTTTCCAAATATGAGCGTTTATCATGGCCTGAAAGTTCTTTAAAATAGGGTTAGGGATTGTAATGGGGAGGGTGCGGAATAGGTATAAAATATGCGGGAGAATCATCATTTTTACAGTATGGATGCGTCCTAACCAGGAGATCTCTTTCTCCTCCCATGTCTTAAGTTGTTGTTCTAGTCTGTGAATAAGTGGTAAGTGGTTTTCCTGCACTATTGCTGAGTGCCTTGAAGGCAACTTTATGCCCAAGTATGAGATGGAGGAGTTCCGCCACTCGAAGGGGTACAGTGATTTCAGGGGGGAGAGGGATACGTGTGGCAGCCCTATTGCCATCGCTTGTGTCTTTTTGGCGTTGTTTTTATAGAACGAAACCTTACCATAATTCCCCAAAAGGGTTATCAGGTTCGGTAGCGATTTCTCCGGGCGTGTTAAAAATAGGAGGACATCATCCGCGAATAGAGCTATTTTTTGGTTCCCTGTGGGGGTACCTAGGCCTTCAATTGTTTCGTCGTTTTTTATATGTCTAACCAGAGGTTCCATACATATTATAAAGATTAATGGGGAGAGGGGGCAACCCTGTCTAGATCCATTTGAAATTTGGAAGGGTTGAGAGAGGAACCCGGAGTTAAAAATTCTAGCAGCTGGATTAGCGTATAGGGCCATGATCCCTGACAGAAAATCTAATGGGATGCCTACTGCGGATAGAACAGCCCTCATATAAGTCCAATTTAGGCGGTCGAACGCTTTCTCCGCGTCCAGGGCTAACAGTATGCCGCTTTGATTAGATTTTTGGGCCCAGGAGATTAGGTTCAGAAAGTGACGTGTATTGTCTCCCGGTTGTCTATTCGGGACAAACCCTGCCTGCTCTGGAGAGACCAGATCTTGCAGGAAGGGTTGGAGGCGATTGGCTAGTAATTTGGCAAAGAGTTTTGTGTCTGCGTTCAGCAGGGATATAGGCCTCAAATTGGCGCATTCAGTGGGTGGTTTTCCTGGTTTGGGGAGTGTAACGATATGGGCAAGCAACATCTCATCTGGCATAGTTCCTGAATCTTTAAAGGAGTTAAAAAGGGCTGTAAGGTGTGGTGTGAGCTGTGTTTCAAATGTGGAGTAAAAGTGGTTAGAGAAACCATCTGGGCCTGGAGCTTTATGTTTAGGTAATTTGTGTATTGCATTTCGTACTTCTTCTTCCGTGAATTTGGCCGACAGGATTGCACTTTGTTGTGCAGTCAAGCGAGGCAGTGTAGCCTCTGTCAGAAAAGTGGTTATTTCCGATTCGGTTGGTTGGTGTAGTGTTTTGTCCTGTGTAAGATTGTAAAGACCTTTATAGAAAATTGCCAATTCGTTCACTATATCTTGTGGGTTGAATAGTTTTGAACCAGTGGTTGATGTCATGTATGGGAGCTTGGATTGAATGTATCGGGATTTTAATCGGTTTGCAAGCAGTTTGCCCGCCTTGTTCCCTTGCATATAGTGGGCGAGCTTCAATTTGCAGAGTTGTCGTTCCATGCCCATCAGGGACAGTTCCAGTAGTCTTTCCCTCACCTTTTCAATTTTGCGGGATACAGTTTTAGTTGGTTTAAGTTTATTAGCCTGGTCTAGTGATTTAAGTTGGGAGAGTAGATTATCTGATTCAGTAAGGGTGATCCTTTTATTTATTGCGCCCGCCTGGATTAAAAGGCCTCGTAATACGGCTTTTAGGGCTAACCATTTAGTGTCTATGCGGGTGGGGTCGGATTGGTGGGTTTCGAAGAGCGATACAATGCTGGCCCGAATTTTTGTGGCAGTGTCCTCGTTATCTATGAGGGATTCATTTAGGCGCCAAGTGCTGCGCCCACGTGAGGGGTACAAAGCCCTGAACGTAGTGGTTACCGGCGCGTGATCAGACCAAGTCCGGTCTCCTATTTGCACCTCGATTAGATTGGGTACCGTAGTCTTATCTACCCAACACATATCTATACGGGAGTAGGTGTGGTGTACTCGTGAGAAATAGGTGTAGTTTTTCTCTGTTGGGTAGAGGGTGCACCAAGAATCATAAAAGTCGTATGTATGTAGCAATGTACGGAGGGTAGTGCTCATAGTACTAGCATGTTGCAGGGGATGTTTGCCTTCGATGCGCTTAATGTCCAATTCGGGATCTAGCGTGCAATTCAGGTCACCGCAAATTATAGTGTGTCCTACATGGAGGTTAGAAATTTTAGCTAGTGCTCTTTTGATGAAGGAAGTTTGGGAGTTGTTAGGAGCATATATGGACGCGATCGTGAGTTGCATTCCATTCAGTGAGCCCACTACTATTAGAAGCCTGCCTAGTTCGTCTGCGTAGAGGTTATCGAGATGGAAAACCCAGTCAATGTGGAACAATATAGCCACCCCTTTCGTTTTGTTTGGAGCGAGGGCATGGAATATCTGATGGTATCTAGATGAGTTTAGTTTGGGGGGATTCCTTTTACACATGTGTGTTTCCTGGAGGCAAACTATAGCAGCCTGAGATTTATGGATGGTTCTAATCACAGAGCTTCTTTTAAATGGGCTATTCAGGCCGTTAACGTTCATAGATAAACATTTAAAATGGTACATCATCTTGAAGGAACACAAGGCGGAGCTTATTAGTTAGTGCATAGCATCTGTCATCGATAACCTCTGGTGTCTGGTTATGTGTTACACAAATACAGATCGTTGCAACTGCCGGAAAAATGGGAAGGGGAATAACATGGGAACCAAAATAAACAAACCTAAGTATATACAATGTCTCTCGTAGATGAGAGAAAAACATGGGATTCAGAGGGGAGCCTTGGATTTCCAAGATCCTCGAATTCCCTTGGAGGGTCGTGCGGAGCAGGGCCGCACCCGGGCCAGAATCTCTGGGTAAGCAGGTCTGGAAAGGGTAAAAAGCTTGAGGGAATATGTATTTAGGCAGCAATCTCACCTGCTCCCTGCATATATCGCTAAGGCGGTAGAAGGAGACAGGGGCAGCGGATTTGTGGTATCGCAGCCGGGGCTACTATGACAGACTGTGTACAGCTATATTATTATTATTTTTTATTTTTATTTTTTTCTTATAGGTGAACAGTGAGTGCAGTTATATCCTAGGGTTGCATTCTTGGGCCATGGAGGCAGCCTGTCAGCTAAACAGTTACATGTCGTCCTGTGAGGAGAGGGGTTAGTGGGGGCCCTACTTGTGGGGTGAGAAGGAAGCAAATGAGGGGGGTAGGTTCTTGGGGAGCCTTAAGCCCAAAGAAGGAGTATTTAGCAATATGGGTAAGCGTAGGGACGTCAGCCTTTCTTATTAGTTAATTACATTCTGTGGCAGTGAGGTATATGATATCCTTTCTTACACTTGTATGTGTATGTATTAGTACATACATCTGCGTAGGCATAACTAAATTTTTTATTTTTTTTTCCCTCTTTTTCGTAGCATACTCTCTCTACCCCACCCTGTCTCTACCTCAATAGGAGATAAATAAAAAAAAGAAAAAACATTTATACAATACCACTCGTGGCAACTGAAAGCAGCGATCACCAACAATGCACTAACAGAAATGCCTTGCATGAGGCTCCGGTCAGCCGGAAGCTATCCATAAATGAAAGGCTAGTGTCCAGAGCTAGTATATATAAATAAAGTCAGTTGATATGTCTTCCTATGTCGCCTTGGAGCTTGCAGGTAAGTGGAGCCAGGGAGATGCTATCCTCGGCGGAGCAGTCCTCAGCGCTTCGCGCCGACCATCTGCCAGTCGGGCCGGGTCTTCTTCGAGGTGGGCGTATTAACCGCTTGTGCTTGGGTAGCTTCCGCTGGGCCCCAGAGGCCCCATTGTTTTAATGTGGATAGGCCTCCTATTGGGTCATCAATAACGTGGAGCTTGTTATTCCTCCAAATCAATAGTTTCGTGGGAAACCCCCATCTGTAAGCCTGCGCGTGGTTGCGTAAGGTTTTGGTGATGGAGGAAAATTCCTTGCGCCTCGCCATAGTGAGGGCCGAGAGGTCAGCAAAAATCGAGACGGCGCTATAGGGGTCGGGTAGCGGAGATTGGGCTCTGGCTGCCTTGAGAAGTGCTTCTTTAGCCTTATAATAGTGAAAGCGCACGATGATGTCGCGCGGTACATCCGCCCCAAATCTAGGCGGTTTAGGGACCCGGTGGGCTCTGTCCAGTTCCCATGTGATGCCGGAGAGGTCAGGGGCCAGAGTGGCACTTAGAGTGGTTATATAGGCTGGGATCTGGTCTGTCACAATGGACTCAGGTACCCCCCGGAACCTCACGTTATTCCGGCGGGAACGGTCCTCCATATCTGCCATCTTGTGCCAAAGTTTGGTATTATCTTCCTCCAGTTTTTTCAGCTTGTCTGCCAGCAGATTATGAGCTGAGCAGAGGTCGTCTGTCTTGCGTTCGACCTGATCGGTCCGGTCACCCAACTCCTCCAGTTCTTGGTGGATGCCCGCAATAGCAGTTGTGAAGTCCTCTTTGATTGTGGACCTAAGGTCCATGAGCATTTGCTTGAGGTATTCTTTTGAGAATTGGGTATCATCCGATGTTGGTTGTGAGGGAGTCTCGATGTAGGGATCGGAGTCCGGAGACTGAGCTCTGCTGGCGGCGCCATCTTGG